GAATCTGTGGAATCTCAGCTTTAATCTGATATCTTGTTTGTGTAGATCCGATAAGTAATACAATATTTCTACCGTGAGTTCTGTGCTAAGTGCGTTAGCATTTTTTCGCTCAGTGCTAATTCAGAGGCTTTGTATTAACCTTATGTTTCGTTCTGCTAAAACATTTTCATATCGTCTGTTAGCTGAGTTTCTTCCCGTTATGTGGGTATGAAACATTAATAGCTTAATTAATCAAAATTACGATGTGGAAGAAAAGGTCTTTTAAATAACAGCATCCTCCATATAAGAAGATCTTATTCTCACTTTGCGTTGGCAGCATGAAGGTAAAGGGCAGCCTGAATAGGAACCAGGAAGATGTAGTCCGTTCCGATATCCACCACGGTTTTCTTGATGGTCTCCCTGCTGGGGTTTGAGCCCCAGTTTGAGGTGTATGTGGAATAAGCATTGTCCGCACCGGCCTTGCCCTTGTCCTTAGTGTACGCAGCCAGGAGCCTCTTCACATCGTCGCTGCAATCAGGCATGTCAGACATTAGAAACATACGATACAGTTCAAACCAAAGTATGGTATGTTGCTCTGGGAACAGAATCTTTAAAGTGACCAAATGGCTTAAACTCACATAGGGGTGTTCACCAGGGGGGAGTTGATCGTAAGAACATCTAAACCAGTGAAGAGGTGTCCGTCCATGTCGTTGACTCCAGCCATGTAATCGATATCAGCCATATTGTTGAACAATTTGGAAGGGTCATCAGGAATGAAGTCCCCGTCGATCACAGGAGAGAGGGCCAGGTTGAATACAACGGGGTCTGACAGAGGCAGATACAATGAGACATTATCATTCAGAGTACTAACTGTATGCCTAACGAAAAGTGGATTTCCAATTCTCAATTTTCTAGATCTTGTATTGTTCTGCTCATATATGGGATGTGCTTAAGTGTGTTGAAGTATGTATTTTAGAGAACATTAGGCAGGGTGAGGCCACTAAGTGTTTGACGACAGCTTGTTATGTTAGGGCAACACTCACTAGCCAAATTTAGCGCACATTTTAATCAAAACAATGCAGAAGGAGTCAGCACAACAAGATGCTTTTTCCTCTCCATTGCTCTGGTAAAAAGCATCTTGTTGTGCTGACTCCTTCTGCATTGTTTTGATTAAAATGTGCGCTAAATTTGGCTAGTGAGTGTTGCCCT